CCGAGGCCACGGTAGGCAAGAGAACAGTCTAAAAATAAAAGCAGTAATCTTTTCGGATGGGATTTATTTGTTCGTTTCTTTGTTTGTTTGCACGCGCTAATCTCCGGAACTATCTTCTGGTTACAATTGAAAACTTCTTTTTGTTACACGCTACGACTAAATGAGCCGAAAAGCGGGTGGCACCACGCGTGATTACCTAGTATTAACTAAATTCATAAGTACCTAAATGTGATTATTTTGAGTACTTTCGTGGCTCTTTAAATTTATTTTTGATTTAAGTGACTATCTTTTAGAAAACTATCAATTACATCGGATCAGTTTAATTTAAACGATAAGTACCTACCTAGTATCTACGCAATTCTATTGTTTTGCACGTACCTACAAAAATTTGATTAAGTATCCCGCCCACATTAGATTTCTTGTCTTAATGACAAACAAAAGTTCAGTTGATAAACGTTAAGGAGTAATTATTCCGAATAGTTTCATCATCGTGATAATCAGAATTATAGTACAGGCAAAATCTACGGGGACACAATTTTTTACCAACTCACGTACCTATACATAGATATCTACTGATAAAATGAACCTGCTAAGATAACAGAATGTAATTTCTTGATATTAGTTTAGAGATCTAAACAATATGTAGATATTATGATTAAAACAATTTTGTAACGTGTAAAACATATTAGACATTTTTAAACGTCGTTCATGGCCCGTCGTGGTGGTCCGGAGTTTAAGGCGCTGGGTGCATGAAGGGTGCGTTCGAAACCTGGCGAGTGCCAATGTGGCTTTTTCCGAGTTATATATACTTTCTATGATTATTTAAACACCACTGACATACGATGAAGAAAAACATCGTAAGGAAACTGGGTTTTATAATTTGTAATTAAAAGTTATCGAAATCGGAATCCGCTTAGTGAGCAAGTGTGGATATTCATGCTCAAACTTTCTCCGCGAAAAGAGGCCTTGCTCGGCAGTAAGCACTTATTGGCTGATGATGATGACAATATCGTCTTCTCTAAGGTAGTCATTGGCTAAAAATTATACCTATATAATTCCAATAACATGAGAATAGGTAGCAGGCAGTTAGGACCTGCTTGGATAGCCAGACAGGTGGGTAACAACTGACTTCCCTCCTTCCTTCCTCCCTCTCTCCCTACCCATATTGCGAGTCGAGTTGAAACGAGGTCGTTTTAAGTCTCTAAGTCTGACCCTCATTTCCGCATAGGATTCCTAAACCTCAATATCTAATTTTCGGAGAAGACAGTCGACATTCGGTACAGGTTCCGAACTTCTTTTATCATTTTTATAACATTATATTTGTGCAGCGTGCAACCACATAAAGAAGGGGTGGTGGTGGGCACCAGTTTTTTTTATTTTTTTTATTTGAGTCTTCAAATACATATATTTAAAACATTTAGTAGGAAAACGTTTAGTTTGTCTTTTAAGAGGACCCGGTGTACTCTACAGGTGCAGATCGTAGCTACCATAGCAGGTTACGAATTCCACATAATTACTCTTTCTCCGCAAAAAGCTAGGCTATTTTAACATGATCTGAAAATCCAGAGACGCAATACATTCATGTAAAAGCCATTCAGCTAAATATGAATTGATGCCGATGAACGTGCCTTCACTTCACCCATACCATAATCGACGGCGCATTGACAATGACATTGATACCAATGATGACAAAGAACTTCGTGATCCGGCTAATGCAAGGAAGCTCAAGTGGGGTCAAGTGGTGTAATGAAAGTACGATCTTAAAGGAAATAGCACTGCTGCACTGCATGCTCACGATCAAAGATTTTCAACTTTTATTAGAACAAACGAAACAATGTAAGTAGCTAATAAGTAAGAAGGCAGTCTTACGTAAAATTACATAATGTTTCAGATGTTATGATTCCCCAGAAAGCAGTAGGAAGGAAAGCATTTCCTCTCGATAAGTTAAAGTAAAGCGTGGGTAAGTATTCGGTAACGGTCGGATAGTAGTACCCACTAATTTGAACAATAATAGGTACTAACATACTTGGCAGATGCTACAATCACAATCAAAGCAGCAAATCATGCAACATTCACTAAAGAAAAGTGTGATAGTTTCCGATAATCTTATGCAAGTTCATACAAATTTCGTTTTTCCTTTTCTAGTACATAGCTAGCAATAGATACTTTAAATAACAACCCAGCATATTTTTACACCTTTTGTTAACAAATATGTATTTACATTTAAATACAGCAATGTCAACTAGAGTAATCAAACAGTTAATCTAATACAAATAACATAAAAGCACTTCTACCAGAAGAACATTTCGGTTTCAATACAGCAGATAACAAATCAGAATCGTGCCGGGTCCACATTAGCACGCGGCACGTTCCGGCCCGCACGGCATCTGATAGTTAATACACCAGCCGTAATGCGCTCCTTGGTACACTATTTCAAATGTTATTACAGTTGCCATGTTGTTCCTGCCGCGTAGACAGCTCATATCGTGCAGAGTAATCGCGAACCTCGCCCTACACCATCCGATATGGACCGCCCGATTCCTTGAAACGGGTATTGCGTGAGACGGAAGCACAGATGCTAGTATAAACATTGTTTAAACCACGTTTGTATAATCTTAAACGGCAATTCCCAACATAAATAGTACAAAATCAAGGAAATAAAATACAATACGTCAAACATTAAGTAAACATAATGTATAGCTCAATTTCATTGGCCATAATGTCTTAATGCAAACCCAACAGTTGTAAGCCGATTTGTACATAAATTAAGCGCCACTTAATATGACAATTTACGAGCGTAGCTAACACGGCTTCGTGTCTCGTGTCTGCAAAGCCGGTAGACCTAGCTGACCAGGGATCAATTATTTTACTCCTAGTAAGGACATCTTTATGTGTCTGCCGCGCAGAGTTTTAACGGTTCTTTATAATAAGAGTAGGACTCGGTAAGTTGTGTGTCAATGAAGTATTAACGGTTTAGGATTTAGGAAAATGTGCCTAACAAAAGTTATATCTATTGAGCTAGAAGGTTTAAACACTTGATTATTCTACATCCAAAATATTTTTAATGCGATACAACATTATGTGTATCTACACGAACGACCTTTCACCTAACAAGGAAGAACCCACAAATGGAAATGTTACGTTCCAATCAAGAGACCTAAATGTTTTACAACTGTTATGCATTAGGTTGATAGTTACATATATAACAGTTTCCGAGCGTTTGAGAGCTTATTACAATTAACAGTAATTTCTTCAACTGGTGTAATGCGAGCAATGCCGAAGTAAGTACTTGTAGGTAATAAATTAACTGAGGCCATAATAAACTTGGGTGGTCTAACTATTAGGTACTTACCTACATGGATGCTCATTCATTTGAAATGGTAGCCATGATTAGATAATTATGAATATTATGTTGAGCTTATGCATATTTTTTAAAACGCATACTTATGCACACGCTTCTTCTCGAACTCTTAGGTGTCTACGATAAACACAGTAACATAATTGTTATTTCCTTTGCATTCAGTACGTCAGTGTTATTCTCCAGAATCGTATCTCATCCAAATGCGACCACAAACCTATTTTCTTTCGAGTAATATTACGAACTAGGTGGGTAATTTTGAGGCTTTGCAGTGATTGTGTTTGTTATAACCTTACACGCCTGTAAACACCCGTGAGATAGAAAAGGATGGAGGTCATAATACAAGCTATTACAGTGCGTAAATTCCTGGAATATCACTGCAATTTATCACGTTGCTTCAATTTTATATTCTGCGGTCCCGGTCGAAGGTCGTTGACGTCCATGGAATACAGAAAACAGACGGCGCGTGGCGTATAATTTACTTATCAAGTAGATATATAAAAGTTAGTAGTACATGAGACTCTTTTTTTGGCCGCGGTACCTTATTACGCTTGCACAGCAATCCTGGCTGCATATTGGCGTCGTCCCGTATTGACTGAGGTGTTCGTCTGTTTGAGGCGCAAGCGCAAGGCTGTGCGCTGTACGCTCGGGCGAGCTACCCTTGCTCGCCGTTTACTGACGATGGCTGGAGATCGTCGCTCGATCTCCGACGCCCGGAGTGTCGCCTACCGCGGCGGCTAGGGCTTGAGGAGGATAGATAGACGACACGGCGGTGCTCAGCCCAAGCGGAGTACACCGTTACTGTTTGCCATCGTGTCATCTGGATGTTCCTTACAATGACACTTACATCTGAACTTTTTTTATGACGAGGGAAAATCATCGAATGACATCTCTCGCCCGGGGGAGGACAAAATAAATGATAGTGTGAGTGGAAGAGAGTACTCTAATTACTGACTAAACACCCCTATACATTTTCTTGCTCTATTCCTAGGCCTGTAAACAATGACGACACCCGGGCGTTTCATACTGCCTCGGATCCGAAACAAATACGCTCCTCTAAGAGGGGTCTTAGGTACCTCTGCTAAGAGAGCGTGCCAAACCTACAAGGTCGGAAGAAAGACATAAAGATTTTTTTAGTTCAACGTTTTTTTTTAAGATTTAGGATCTTAAGTTATCTGCAATTAATATATATTTATTTGTTAGTTTTATTTATCTCAAAGTTGTGGTAAATATAAGAGATCAGGTAGTAAAATAAATTCAAATTTGCCACATTCTAATATATAATAAAACCTCTACGACTTGGCTACATTCATAATTAAAGTCAAAATCACAATTTCGACAGTATTTTTTGAAATTAAGTAACAAGTTACTCAAGTCATCTCAAGTGATAAAGCTCAAAGAGTATGTAACCACTACGTTTAATAAAGCTCTTCTATTAGTTTCAAGTCAAAACGGTCGGACTCTCAGCTGTACACTGTTATTAAAAATGATTTAATGTTATTCCAGTTTAGAGTGGGGTAAATACGTTTAGTAATAGTTAAACTTTTTATGATATAAAAAGTTTGATAAAATCAAAATGAAAAATAATGCTTTAGTCGAATTTCTTCCTATAATAGTGACAATTATTGATCTGTCGTTCTGTCAAAACTGACAACACATGTCATATGATTGTGCGTTTGACTATTACGACATTGACATTTCAAAACAACCTCGAAAATATTAAATATTTCTTGAAATTCATTATATTTTGTGAATTAATAAGAATGGGCAACTGGAAACTTGAGGTCGGTCGAATGGCCATGTACACATCTTTTCCTGTAGGTCTTTTTTTCTTCTTTAATCAACCGACCTATTTTGAAGAATGGGTTACAAACACGAAGCGACAAATCTTTCCACCGGAGAACATCAAAGATAGAGAAGCTATACAGCAACTCATAAAAGATATGAGAAAAAAACAAATGGAAGCATTGGAAAAGGAATAATTGGTGTAAAGCATGTCAGTCAGCAAACGTAACAGTAAGGTTGTAAATAAGTGGTGCAAGACTTGCAGTGTAGTGATTTTATATATTATTGCGTTTGTTCAAATAGTCTTTCAACATACTATTTACATACAATTATATTCTGTTATCTTTGGCAATTTCAAGTGACCATTGAGACTATTGATAACTGCATTCAGATAAAGGGATATAAAATTGATAAAGGTGTGTGAGAACAAATATTTTATTAGTTTTAAAATAACAATAAACTTAAAACTTAGTCTGTTTTTGTTTGTTTAATTTTTCTCATGTAGCTTAATGCAAGGCCTATTGTTGTTGAACAAAGTGAAGCATAAATTACATAAGATACTCCATAGTATTCTCCTATTACTCCTGAGACCATAGGAGCAACTACACCAGTCAGTGATCTTACACTATTAGAAGCACCTATTAATGTACCTCTATGGTCTCCATCAGTCCTCTTCAATACCATTTCTAATGTAACTAATCTACCAATTGCATTACTTATAGCTAGAGGTATCAACCAGAAAGCATAAACAAGAACATTAAATGATAGAGCTAGGCCTAATAAAGACAAACTTGTTACTAAAAATACATGCATGTTTCTAATACTGTAATCTTTATCATGGAGATAATAACTATTAATATAACCAATGAAAAAACTGGACAATGATCCTATTACACCTTGGAAAGAAATTACATAACCTATATATTTAGGTGATAATTCATATTCTGTTTTCAAGAATAGTGAATAATTTGAATAATAAACTCCCATAGCAAAACCAATTAAAGCTTTGAACATAAAAATGTCCCAATATTTGATCCAATCTATACAAAACAGTTCAACTATTGATTGGCGAACACTGGAATACAAAGTAACTAGTAAACTTGTTTGTGTTTCTCCTTTTGTTTGACTTGCTGCTTTCTTTTTAGGCACTTTACTGTCTATCTTTGGCAAGAAATTCACCAGTCCTGTAAAAAGAAAACACACTACTACTTTCAACATTATCAAATTACTATAATTATTAATTTACATTTTGTTCCATTATAAAGGTAACCCAGTAACATTTACTAATCAGTCAAATATTTTTAAATTTTGTAGAAGTATGCCTATTATTTTTTGGGATTGCCTGCATTGGCAGGCATGTATAAATAGAATAAGTAAACTCTTTTGAGTAATAAATTTGACAATGTGAATAAAAACCAAATTTCCTACCTGCATTTAAGGCAAAGCAGATCCCAACAATTACAGCAACCAACAAGAAGCCATTTTCTGGATGATCTTCAGCTATATGACCACCAATCACTGGTCCTAGAGTAATACCAGCGCCTGAGATGGCCGCCATCTTGCCATATATTTCAGCTTGTCTCTGTTCATTTTTTTCATAATCAGGCACTAGTGCTTTTGTCAACATTTGTGTCTGTTTAAATAGTCCTGCAAAATAATAGTTCATTATTGTTCTCTTGGAATTGAAAGAATCAAATACTGGAGTGGATGAGCCCAAGTAAAAACCATAACCAAATGAAATTGCTGAATAGATTAATGTAGTGTACCTATTGTGTGATTACAAACATATATGAAATTCAATAAAATACTTTTTAGGAGATGCATTTTTGTTTACTTTAATATTTATTATGTGATTCAAATGCATTTTTTTAAAAACACTGCCATATCTACCTATTTTTCCCTATAACAAAATAATTTAGAATATGAAAACCAATAAATGTAACCTTCTATGTACCTAACACTGCTCTAATCACCATTATAACAAATATTGACTTAGTCAATCCCATCACAGTGTATGCAATGCCACATAATAGCAGTGTCATTATCAAAATATTTTTCCGCCCCTTCAGGTCACTCAAACTGCCCTGAAAAATTATTTACATTAAACATAAGATAAAATATTTTGAAAACGTGCAAATTGTGACACAGTGACAAAAGATACTTACGATCAAAGGTCCAGAACCCAACTGAAATCCTGCATAAATAGATCCAAGTAACCCCACATACACATGATTTCCGCCCATGTCGCGAACATGTCCGGAAACCAAAGGCACTATAAGTCCAACAGCTAAAAGATCCTGAAAGAATACAATAACATAAAAAGTATTTAATTATCCTTTGATACACAACAATATTAAAAAATCTTAATAAATAAATAATTTATGAAAAAAGACTCCTACCAAAAAGGCAACAGCTTGAATAAGGTAAATGACAAAAGACATTTTTGATTTATATTTTACTCTATAAACTTTATATACAATGTTAGGAACTTTCCCAGGAATCCAGGAGTTATTTAATCAGAAACGAATTTTCATCATAATTTGCGCCACAGCAGTCCAATCAAAAGAACCAATGTCACGTCACTGACAGCTGACACTGACATTAGATGGGAATCCTAAATACTTAACGCAAACGCACACTCCCTCGTCCACAAACCAGCCAACAAACTAATTACGAGAAGCAATTACTTTGTTCCTTGATTAGGTGTTTTGACCAAAACACTATTTCTGTTAGAGTATAACATTTATTTAAAACTAAAAATGCGTAAAATGTAATAATACAGACGCTGATGATTAAAAAACTGATATCAAAACGAAATTGACAAATGACATTATTGACATGACAATGACAGTACATATTTTGATGGAGAGATATTTATTTTTATTTGTTCATCGAGGTTATAAATTATAAAACACGTAATTTGAATTTTTTAAGTGCTAAAAACAATAAAAATACTTTCATAATGAGCAGTACGCGATCATTAGTAAGCTTTTTTCGTAGTTATAGTATACTTGCATGTTGAGGGATATTTAATTAGCAATTACCTAATTCATTAATTTATATTCAAATACTGTAATTTCAGGTTCTACAGACCTTTAAAAAGTTACATAAAACAAGAATGAAAGTTTTTGCTGGCGATGAAAGAGCACTTGTAGCCGGAAGACATAAAATTAATGAAGAGTTCAAAAAAAATAAACATGTTACGAATGAAGAAGCAATAAATGCTGTATGTGAACATAAACATATGTATTTAAAAAAAAACATGACATACTTACATTACTAACTTGTTATCAAACATTACAGATGATCAAACTTGGTGAAGATGTAGAGAAAGAACTAAGAACACAGGTTATTCAAGCTCGGGAAGTCAAACCTGGGGTGTTTGGTGAGTAATGGATTAAACAAAAAATATGATAATTTCACAAATCATATGAAAATAAAAAAAAAACATTGACAAATATATACAAATATAAAAATAGAATTGACATAATTAAGATAAAAATTGTATTTTTTATATAAATTGTAAATTTCCAATCTACATTGTGTTGGCCAATATAATAAAAACTTAAATCTTTTTTTCTATTGTTTTTAGAGGCAAGAATCACTGATGACACAGTTAAGTTAGAAAATATTCCATTCAATGACAATGCAGTATTAGAAGATGGAACAACTGTGAACAGGCCTTGTTGTCAAGACAAAGCCCAAAATAAATAGTTTATGCTATCCAGTTGATGAAAACATAGCAATGATTTATTTAATAAAATATGTGGATTTCTGTACATGGTAGCATTAGTTGCTTAGTCTTTTTTTTATTGTTATTTAGTTATTAATGAAATTGTAGCTTAAAACTTTGTAAATAAAATCATTTATTATGCAATTCAAACACCATTGGTTTTTAAAAAATTTTATTAAGTAATACTTGTTGACATCTATGGGTATCCCTCCGGGTCTGTTCCAGAATTTAGGTGGGCGACGAATTGAAACTTTTACCTTCATATTTAATGAATGTCATTTACCTAATAACTTTGTATGATTGCTTATGTTTGGTGACATGCGCATCAAAAAATCTGATTTAGGTGTACAGCAGCGCGCACTGCCACATTTCATCGGAGGTACTTTTTTTTTTGTGGGGTAAATCATCATATGATTTCTTTAGACCAGGGGTCAGGCAAAAGGGAGTATCAGACTCTTTCGGCCTTATTACAAAACAAGGTTTTACTTTAGTCTAGGACTAAACCATTGAGCCAGTTTTCGTATTTCAAATTGAAGGTAGATGACAATAAGATTCAAAATTCAAAACCCGACTCAATGGTTTAAACCTGGACTAAAGATAAACCTTGTTTTGTAATAAGGGGGTTACTGACTAAAAACACCTGGTTCCTTGTCCTGCTGTGGGCCCAGGAGGCCATGGTACCTACTTGCACTTGCTGATCATCAGCCATGTTGGACCCATCTGTGGTGCCTGTTGTTTTTTTATAGACACGCGCGTAGAGCTACGCACCGTACGCTCGAGTCTGGATCTGGTCAGGCGGTGAGTTTATTACGAGCGTATTACGATAATCGGAGATCGTATCGCGATCCCTGTCGCCTGAAATGTTTCTTACTGCGGCGGCTGGAGCGTGAAGAATATAGATAACTCACGCGCTCCGATACTTTCTTTGCGTCATAACTGCTACGCAGAAAAAAGAGACTTCCCAATTCCTCTCGCTCCGCGTGGTGCGGAGTGTCTACTAATGGGTCGATTACACCTAACGAGTACAGTGGTGAGTCAGTAAATAAGCTCTCGGCCGAGAGAGTTGCCGAACCGAGTGGGTGTTTACACGTATTTACACCAGTGGCGAGTCAGTTCAGTTTTGATCACGACGTCTACAAACGATCGAAAAAAAACCAATTTAAATGGGTATTAAATCGCCTGTTACTACATATTATTAACGAATTGTGGATTGTGGTTGGTGAATAAATTGTTTGAAAAAATACACAAACCCGCACACTGCTTGATGACGAATAACGAACGAGTGGCGAGTGGCCGAGTGACAAGCGAGTGCGTGATTATACGCACCGAGCGGGATAGCGAGTCGCTGCGGGGGCAGAAGAATGAAGTGGGGTGGTGGGTACTCGGCCTAGTAAACAAATTGGGATTCTAGTGACTCTCTCGCCTCTCTTCTCGACCGAGTACTCGGCCGAGCACTCGTTAAAGTGTTTATACCAACCGAGCACTCGGCCGAGGATACTGACTCGCCACTGTACTCGTTAGGTGTAATCGACCCTTTAGCCTAAGCAGGACACACCGCCACCATGTCCTCCAGGTGGCCCCTTACAATTCGGACACCCGGACATTTACTCTGGCGTCTGGCGGAAGGTGAGGACACCATGGCGTCTCTCTAACCACTCCTTTAAGGATTCGTGTGATCCTTGCGCGTGCCTGTCGACTTTTTTTAAGTGTTTTACAAAATAAAAGAGAAAATGTAGACGTAATCAACCGACAGCTTTCTAAAGTACCTACCTACATTGTAACTGGATAACTTTCCAGTTTTTCTCATTGCGAATGAGGATCGACTGTGGATGCTGAAGTGGTAGGCGCTGCAGCGAAGACAACATAGGCAGGTACCGCAGTCGATTACTGATGTATAACTTTATCTAGGAAAATGGTTATGTATTTTTATGGCTACACTACAGTAGGTACAGAATAGAAAGATTTGTCTCTATATTGAACAGAATGAAATCGTGGCTAAGATCTTCAATGACTGAAATAAGCCTAACCGGAGTAAAACGCCACGTTCATAAAACCGAAGGTAGGCACGGCCGTTGATGTAAATGATATAACAACGCGTTTTAAGAGAACACGCAAAAGACAAAAGGATTTTGTGATTTAAACTCAGGATTTAAATTAGTATATCTTGTCTGTTACTATTTCCTTGCGGAGATTTTTGCCTAGTACCTACTTATCTAAACTATTCATCACAGTTACGGAACATACCTACATTGATCTCGACAATTACTTATAGGTAGGTACCCTATTCCCGTTTTGACCAAATGATTAAGTTTGTTCTTATTTTAGATTCTTTATTATTTACATATTTGGAAAATAAAAATAGATGTCTAATTTCTCTTCCAGATTGTTTTTATTGAACATATCCGTTAGGGTACCTTCCTGTTTTGGGCCCGCCTCCCTTAAACAGGCCCCTTCATTCCGTGTGTTATGGTGCGTCTCTGGATAACTTCAAAAGATTGAGGTTTTTTATAAAACCAAGCAACCCAGACTGAAAACAACAATTTTGGATTACACAGTGTGCACGTACATGCGGATACCCAGCCACTTCACCATGCAGTTTTTAAGTAGGTACAGACTACAAACATTCCTAAATTAGGTACCTACTTTTTACTCCTAATATTATTAAATTAAGTTTTAAGTTCTTGACTTGATCACGACAATGTAACAGTACCTATAAGAAAGTACGCCTGGCGCCAAAGCTGGAAATGCGCTTGCTTTTTTTTGTCAGGGGAAAATCATCCAATGTCTTCTCCCGCCCAGGGCCGGGCCGTTCCTTCTCCTGCTCTGGGCCGAGGTCGCGGTGCCTCATTGCGCTTACCCCGCAACCCCGGCTGAGAACTGCCCTTGCTTGTGGATGATTTATTACCTAAATTCTTTAGGTACTAAGGGTGACAAAAATGCATGGAGAGCTTAAGGTCGACAATTGACTGACAGGTTTTGCATAACGCTACCATTGATAACTAGATGGCGCTGCTTTTAAATGAAAATAACCCTGCAAAGCTTGAATACTTTACACTGCAGAGGCACACAATAAGGTTTTTAATGGTTAAAATAATAATTGAGAAACAATAATATATTTATATTCAAATACACATAAATTATGTTAATTTTCACATTTCCGAGGACTTAATATAGCGCCATCTAAGTCAAGTCAAGCAAACCAATTAAAAGATGGCGTCAATAATTAATAATAGACAATAAAAGTTATAAACTAACCCGCATTTTCGATATCATTAAAAATGCGATCGGTAGCTCGGATAAATAAGAATATAGTATAATGAAGTCGAAGGGCACCGGTTCAATTCCGGGTTATCATTTTTAAATTCAGGTTTTTTAACAATGGTTTTTTTATACTTTTTATATAAAATCAATAATAATAATATATAAATAAAATATTTGACGTTTAATATTTATAAAAGGTAACAAAAATAAATAAATATATTATTTTAGAATAAAATTATATTAATAAATATATATAAATAACTTTTTTAATATGTGCTAACTATTAATGTAAAAGTAACATATTTTCCTTACAGATTAAGACTAATACTAAATTTAATTCTCATAAAGGATAACAAATAAAACTATTTTAGTGACATTATACGTAATTTCAGACATTTATTTCTTAAAACATAATATTTATTTCTTTCTTATATAGTGTATACCCTGACCTAATAACTTTCCAGCTAACTGACACATTATTTATTACACTTTTTATAAGATTATTAAGTATATTAAATCTAAATTGTGTTGTGCTAGTCATTTATTAGTTAGTTTTAAACACAATGTTATAATACGATTCTATATAATATGCAACCTTACTTCTGCAACTATTTTACCTCTCCATAAAATTTAATTAAAGTATTGACTAAAGTGATTCATTTTGTGCATCATGTTATGACAAAGGCTCATAGCTTAAGTATTCGTTCCAGAACAAGGAAGAAATTGAAGCTAGACCTTAAATCAATAACATTTCTAAGACCGGGATATAGCATTCACTAGATATGGGACGAATTGTTCATAGTAATTAATAAATAAATAATTTATTATTTTGCAATCAATAGCTTCTGTAAATATTAATATTGCTTTTATTTTTATTTCTCATATTTAGTAAAACATTAAAATCATTACTGTATAACAGTCGCTGGTTATAAAGTAGTCAATAAATTTATCCTACTAACACTAAGTTTGAACATTTATCCATTAAATAAATTATAGCTACCCCGGTCTTGTAATTGCTTAATGTCGTTTCTTTTAAGAACTAGTGTAGCCGCCATTTTTATCGATCCTATTTCTCCTATCTCGCTGGCCAAGGAATAATCCGTATGTCTGATTACTGACTAAACACTTGCACAATTATGGAACATTACACATAGGACAATTGTCCTGCACGAACGTTATCACTAGCACATCTTCATGACGTCTTTCAGCACATCTATGTAGTTTTCACTGTTTGCATCACTGAAGATGACAATGCTCCAGTAATTTTCCTCATAACCTTGCCCCATAAGTTGAAACTGGTCTGAGTCAATATCACGTCTTCTGCCAGATCCACTACGGTGCTCCAATGAACCCTCTTCTTGAAACAGCTTTAGATATCCATAAAGTGGCAGTCTTTACCTGTAAGGGACGTGTATTATTTATTATTTTCATGTATCGATAACCATGGATAATAAAATAAATAACAAACGGTCATTTATAAGAATACTTACGTTTAAGCCAGTTTCTCTAGAAATTCCAGTATAATTTAAGCTTTGATTATGCAATGCTATTATTTGGGCCCTCGTAGCCATATTAACATTTGAACGCAAATTCATAATAAAAATAAATATTAAAAACTTGTTAAACAAATCGTGACTGAACTCACTCAAAGATAGTAAAGAATGTTATGATTGAACAAAAAGGTCTAATTTTTATACAGTTAATTTTAAATTACCCTCAACTGTTTTGAGATTTATGATCGGGTTATAGTTGCTAAACAACTTCAATATAATAAAGAGTAGGATAATTTCAATACATTTCAAGGTTACGTAATGGCCTAATGGCTAGTGGCATC